CAGTTCAAATCTTCCCACTGCTCTGCAGGAGAAGGATGGGCAATCTCCTTCTGTCTGATTAATTGCCTTTGAAAATTCACTAAAGGGTGAGCTATGAGTCAGTTCTGACAAGACAGAACACAACAACAACAGTTAGGTTTAGAGGGTAGTTATGAAGCTAAAACGGGGACAAACTTACTCCAAATCTAATTTTGTTTCTCAATTTAAGATTCTTGACTTAAGGAGCTCTGAGGAGTCAAGTCATGGGGATGAAGAACCATTATAAAGAATCATAAAATCATGAAACACCTGAGCGTGTGTATTTCTTCATTCTTGCTTAGAAGAATAGAAAAAGTCAAGGTCAAGAGCAAAGTCAGGTTGGAAGAATGAGCAAAAAGAATCCTAAGGCAAAAAGCATTAGCAGTTAGCCCTCCTTAAGCAAATGTTAAATACACTTATAATGGCAATAAATAATAATGGGATAGAGTGTACATGGTGTAAACACCTTTAATACAATCCTAATTTTCTCTGTGCTTCAAGAGCCACAGATTGTTATGGCAACAAAACAGAAAAACAGATCACAGTATTAATTTGATATCTCAGCTTCATTTGTTCCACATTTGCAATACAACACATGCATAATAAACAAGCCGGGCTGAGCCAAGGCAGAGAAAACATGAAACCACACAAGGGCACAGTGGAGCACCCTCTCAGCCTTGAGTTTTGTTAAATAAAAAATAAATAATAATTTTCTACAAAGAACAGCAGTTTGGTTTCCCACACAATACGCTGTTTGATTGATAACACTTGAGAAGCAGATAATTCCATTCTTGTCAGCCAGATGATACAAGGGAGAATGTAAAAAAACACTATGGCATTGTAGAAAACATCCTCCACGGCAAGTTTTGAGCACAGGATCTTGCCTGGCCCGGCACTTCACTCTTGATTAGCTGGGGCCCTTAAATTTCTCTCTGCTGTGTGTGCCTAAACGGAGCCCTTAGTGGCCAGTTGGTTGTGTGTTGGGATGAGGCAGTCTGCTCCCATAAAGGTTGCAGCCTCAGAAACTCAATGGAGGGTTGCCATAAGTCAGCATCAACTCAACAGGAGTTTTTTATTATTGTAAAATCTGCTGTCAGGGACCACTCCAAAGTGCTAAAAAGCAATAATGTTGGTTTAAAAACCAAGGTGCAGCTGACCGATGCCATATCCTTCTTACTTACTTGCTAGGCATCTGAAAGTTGGACAATAATTGGATAACAGAAGAATCACTGATGCTTTTTATGGGATTGGAGAAGAATATTGAACAAACAGGTCTGTCTTAAAGAAAGTGAAGCCAGAGTGCTCCTTGGAAGCAAGGATGGTGCAGGTTTGTCTCACATCCTTTGTGCATGTTGTTAGGAGAAGTCCTTGGAGAAGAACATCATGCTTGGAAAGGTGAGGGGTCCATGTAAGAGAGGAAGACCCTAAACAAGATGCACTGACATGGTGACTGTAGTAATGGACTCAAGTACATCAGCGATGATGAGGATAGCACAGGAGAGGGCAGGGTTCCGATCTATTGTTCACAGGGTCACTATGAGTTACAGTCAATTCAAATGCACATAACAACAACAATGTCTAGATAAATACAACATCCATCACTTGGGACAAACTGTTGAGAGACGCTTTTGCCTTGGTTTCTATGCATGTGGAAACAGGTCATTGGAAGTTAAACATTATGACCATCTAGTGAGTTACAGACTTGGGCTCAGAATTTGGGTCTGTTTCAGAGGTTAGGTCTCTTCCATTTAAACCATTTTTTCAGAGACAATGTTTTCCTAAAGAGAAAAGGAAAACCGGTCAGAGCTCTGAGGGTCCATGGGTGACACAACTGGTTATGTATTTAATAGGGTTGGAGGTTCAACCCTACCTAGAGCCACTGTGGAAGAAAGGTCAGGTAGTCTATTCTCCAAAAGGTCAAACTTTGACAATTCCATGGAGCACAGTTCTACTGTGACATATATGAGGCCACCATGAGTTAGAAATTATTTAAAAATTTGTTTCTTTTTAATAATATTGTAAATATAAATTCTCAGCTACTGAAGAAGTAAACTCTTAACTTAGTCAACTGTAAAACAAGAGACTTCCAAGAAAAGTCAAGTCTACTTTGTAATTTTACTATAAAAGAAATACCTTAAATAATTGTCTTCAAGAAACATAAATTTATTCTTACAGTGTAAGAAGTTAAAACTCCAGATTTGAGTGCTAGCTCTAAGGAAAGGCTTTCTCTCTCTCTCTTGATCTCTCAGCTCTGGGGGAAAGCCTTTGTCTCCATTCAAAATTTGTGTGCCCAGGACTCCATGAGTCTTGGTACCAGTCTTCTCTGTGTCTAGGAAGTTCTCAGCGGAGGTCTAAACATAAGCTTTGTTTGCAGTCCTTTTTTGGTGGAACTAAGGTCTGTGCTTGGTAGGATAGAGGGACAGTGCAAGAAAGGAAGACTCTTGATGAGATGGGTTGATTCAATGACTGGGGTAATGGGAGTAGGTGTGTCAGAGACAATAAGGTTGGCTCAGGATAGAGCAGGGTTCAGAGCTGTTTTACACAGGGTTGCTATGAGTCACAGGCAACACTACGGCACATAACAACAATAAGAAGATGATCTGTGTCTATATCTCTCTTTTTTAAATTGTGATTTTAAGAAATGTTTGTAAATTGGTTTTCCACTAAACCATTGATATGCATTTTGTTTCATAACAATTGCATTTTTTTCCATTTCTCCACTGTGATTCCTTTTTCCATTAATCCTTTCATTCTAACCTTCTGTAACTTATTCCTGGGAAAAATACTGCTCTTTTGATCTTATATTATTATTATTTTAAAGAATGAGTGCCCTCTGGTGTCAATGGTCATCTTATAGACATGACTGCTGTTTTTTAAAAAAATATTTTTATTTACTCATTATTTTGCTTTTATGCACACCAAATTTTATTGCTGCATTATTCACAATAGCAAAGACATGGAAACAACCCAAGTGCCCATCAACAAATAGATAGAATAAAAATCTGTAGTATATTCACACAATGGAATACTATTCACCACTGAAAAACAAGTAACTCATAAAATATTGCACAAACATATAAGACATGACTGCTTTTATTACTTGGAAGACAAAATATGATGCAGGTCACATTCCAGAGAAGTTCCCCTGGAACTTTATCTCCCTGGAAGTTGGTCAGAAGCAGTTAATCACATGGAGAAGACTGCCCATTGTTCTCCCATGGAACAACTAGTGGCCTCAAATCATGTGCCTTTGGGATTGTAGTGTAGCTTCTTGCCACTAGGCCACCAGAGCTCCCTAAATAAAGCTATTACACCAAGTTCTAATCCAGTTACATCAACCATGCCAAGTTACTAAGAATCATGGTCCAGTCAAGCTGACATATATTTTGGGAGGACACAACTCAATTTATAACATTAGGCATGAGCCATTTAAGCAAACTTTACTTACTGAAGGCATTTGAACAGAATGGCTAATACTGTCATTTTTATTACAACTAGCTGTGGTGCTGGAGAAGACGACTGAACATACCATGGACTGCTAGAAGTACAAACAGGTTTATCCTTTGTTGTGGTGGTGTTATGTGTTGTCGACCCTATGTACAACAGCCCTAAACTCTGCTCTATCCTGTGCCAATCGCACTGCCTCTGACACATCCATCCCAATTACCCCAGTCACTGAATCAATCCACTTCATTGAGGGTCTTCCTCCCTTGTACTGTCCCTCCCCCCTCCCAAGCATGATGTCCCTCTCCAAGGACTAGTCCCTCCTTATAACATGTCCAAAGTATGTCAGACAAAGCCCCAGAATCCTTGCCTCTAAGAAGCAGCCCGGTTGAACCCTTTCCAGGATGAATTTGTTTGTTTTCTTAGCAGTCCATGGTACATCCAATACTCTCCTCCAGCACCACAGCTCAAAGGCATCAATTCTCCTTCTATCCTCCCTAGTCATTGTCCAACTCATTCAGCATTTCTTAAGCTCAAGGAACTGAAGAACAAATTGAAACCTACAGTTGCTATAATCAAGGATGCTTTAGGCAGAATATTAAATGATCCAGGAAGTATTAAAAGAAGATGGAAAGAATATACTGAGTTACTGTATCGAAAGGAATTGGCAGACACAGAAGAATTTAATGAAATAACATATGAGCAAGAGCATATGGTGATGGAGGAAGAAGTTCAAGCTGCTTTGAAAGAAATAGCAAAAAATAAGCCCCAGGAATAGATGGTATACCAATTGACGTATTTCAGCTAACAGATGCTGCCCTGGATGTGCTCACCAAGTTGTGCCAAGAAATCTGGAGAACAACCACTTGGCCAGCTGACTGGAAGAGCTCTCTATTTGTTCCCATTCCAAAAAAAGGTGACCCAACAGAGTGTGGAAACTATAGAACAATATGATTGATTTCACATGCAAGCAAGATTCTGCTGAAGATTATCCAAAAATGACTGGAACAGCACATCAGCAGAGAACTGCCAGAAGTCCAGGCTGGGTTTAGAAGGGGTCATGGTACTAGGGATATTATAGCTGATGTTCGATGGATCTTAGCTGAAAGCAGCGAATACCAGAAGAATGTCTATCTGTGTTTCATTGATTATGCAAAGGCATTTGACTGTGTGGATCATAACAAACTGTGACTGGCTGAGAAGAATGGGAATCCCAGAACACTTGATCATGCTAATGCGAAACTTATACTTAGACCAAGAGGCTGTTGTCAGAACAGAGCAAGGAAACACTGCATGGTTCAAAATTGGGAATGGTGTATGACAGGGATGTGTTATATCTCCATACCTTTTCTTTTTTTTTTTTTTGTATAAACAGTAAGATTTATTGAGCTGTATCTTAGTATAGACGCTGGGGCTTGCCCTTGGTGCTCTTGATATACAAAGCCCAAACATTCTGCCAATTCTTCTTTAGCAGTGAAACCAGAAAGTTGACAGCCAGGTGGATGTTGTAAACAAGTTCATTCATCTGTCATCTTCACATGGCCAACAGCAACTGCCAGACACAGGACCTTTTTCATCTGGAATTTGATGGTGGACTTCACCTCGTCTACTTTTGCCACCATGTTCTCATTGTGGGTCAACAGAGAAGGGAACTTGCCAGCCTTATTCAGCCCTGGACCTAGGATTCTTGGGATCTGCTTGATCAGGGATTCGGAGGCCAAAAAGGCATCATACTTCTTGGCCAGCTTTTTGACCAGCTTCTTATTCTTGTTGAGTTTTTTCAGCGCTTCGATGTCCATGTGGGGGATATCCACAGCTTTGGCTTCATCACAGTGCTGCTGATCCCCAAGAACACACACAGAGAACTTGGGGTGTGGGGTGGACTTTAGCCTGACGGTCCCCGAGAAACGCTTGTCCTTTTGAGGGTCATAGTTCTTCAAACTGATCTGCAGCTCCACAGTCTCCAAAAACTTTCTGCGTTTGCGCTGGTTCCCGTGCAGGACTTCCCGCACCGCCTCGTAGAGGGTGTCACGAGAGACTTTGCTGCTCATGGTTGCTAGCGCCACAGTAACCAGAAAATCTCCATACCTTTTCAACATGTATGCAGAACAGATTATCCGAGAGGCTGAGCTCTATGAGGAGAAGTGTGGTGTCAGGTTTGTCCTAGCAAGGGTAAAACCAGGGTGCTTCCTGGAGGTAAGGATTCTGAAGCTTCGTCTGACATACTTTGGACATGTTGCAAGGATGGACCAGTCCTTGGAGAGAGATGTCATGCTGAGGAGGGTGAAGGGACAGTTCAAGAGAGGAAAACCCTCGAGGAGATGGATTGATTCAGTGACTGAGATGATGGGAGTATATGTGTTAGAGACAATAAAATTGGCACAGGATAGAGCAGGGTTTGGGCTATTGTATATAAGGTCACTATGAGTCACAGGCAATTTGATGGCACATGACAACAACAAGTTATTATGAGCATAACCTGTCACAATATGTGCCAGTGCTGAAAAATAGCAAAAATAGCATAAATAGAGGCAGACATTCCAAACTACCCTTGGAAATGACTCAGAGTATAATGCTGTGAATCAACTGATATTTCTATCTCTATTTTTCCATCTGTGAAATGAGTAAAATCATATTTGTTTCTGATCTGAGGCATAGTTTCATACACATATGAATGTTATGGATTGTATTATGTCTCTCCTATCTGTTGTTATTGTTGTTGCTGTGTGCCGTCGAGTACCTGCGACTCATAGCCACCCTACATAGCAACAACATCTATAGAAAGAGCTCTGGTGGCCTAGTGGTAAGACCTTGTGCTGCAATCCAGAATGCAAGCAGTTCAAATACACAAGCTGCTCTGTAGGAGAAGGATGGGTAGTCTACTCCCATGTTATTCACTACCTCTGAAAACTCACTGGAGCCCTACAACTATTGCTGACACTTGTACCACTTGTACGCAAATTCTCTGGCAGGTGCTGTGCAAGCCTCCTGTTCCTCCAGGCTTTCTATTAGAAACTAACCAAAGGCAGAAATCTACTGTATACTTTAGTATTCTCTTTGTATGCAAGAAATGACATGCAATATTCATTGTTTAGAAAGAGGAAGAATGATTCTATCCAACATTGAAAATCATTTCTTTAATTAAAAATTTTTATTTGGAACTATTACCCAATAGTCTATTTCAAGTACTATTCTAAGTATCTTATGCTTAGAAAACAGCTGAATTTCCTGTACTTTCAATATGTTTTTACTAGAAGTAAACTTTATTTTACTCAGAGCCAGGATTATTCTTTCTATACTCTGAACAACTATGTTGTTATTAATTGCCACTGAGTTGCCCACAACTCATAGTGACTGTATGAGCAATAAATAGAAATGAAAATTAAAAAACAAACAAAAAAAACCTCACTGGAGCATCAGCTATGTCTTGGTTTTAACTTGACTGTACTTAACAACAACAATATAGGTGAAGAAAAGACTGAAATTGTAAATGACTTTATCTTACTTGGATCCACAATCAACACCCTTGGTACCAGCAGTCAGGAGATATACATATAGCATTGGGAAAGTCTGCTATCAGGAACTTTTCCAACGTACTGAGGAACAATAATGTCAATTTAAAGACTAAGGTGCACCTGATTCAGGTATAGTCTTTACAATCACTTGCTATACATCTGAGAATTGAACAATGAATGAGGATGATAGAAGACAAATTAATGCCTTTATGTTGTGATGTTCAAATAGAGTACTAAATATCTGACGGACTGCCAAAAGCATGAACAGATACCTATTAGAGAAAGTTCCTTAGAATTTAATATAGGCTAGAGGCATGAGAGTTGTTGTTGCTGTTATGTGCTGTCAAGTCACCTGCAACTCATAATGACCTTATGTAGAACAGCCCTAAACCCTGTTCTATCCTGTGCCAACCTTATTGTCTCTAACATGTCTACCCTCATTACCTCAGTCATTGAATTAATCCATCTCATCGAGAGTCTTCCTCTCTTGTACTGTGCCATCACCCTCCAAAGCATGATGTCCCTCTCCAAGGACTGATTCCTCCTTGCAACATATCCAAAGTAAGTCAGACGAAACTTCAGAATCCTTGCCTCCAAGGGGCAGCCTGGTCTCACCCTCTCTAGGATGAACCTATTTGTTCTCCTAGTAGTCCATGGTATATTCAATACTCTTCTCCAGCCCCACAGCTCAAAAGGTATCAATTCCCCTTCTATCATCCCAAGTTATTGTCCAGCTTTCTGATGCATAGCATGTAATTGCAAAGATCATGGCTGGGATCAGGCACACCTTAGTCCCCAGACAGACATTGTTGCACTTCAGTACTTTGGAGAGGTCTCTGACAGCAGACTTTTCCAATGTAATCTGTCTTTTAATTTCCTGACTGCTTGTACCAAGAGTGTTGATTGTAGAGGCAAGCAAACTAAAGCTGGTAACAATCTCAGTCTTTTCACCACCTATCATGATGCTACCAATCAGCCCAGTGGTGAGAATCTTTGTTTTTTTTTGATGTTGAGCTTCAGTCCGTACTGAAGGCTGCAGCAAGCACTTCAGGTCCTCCTCAGTTGCAGCAATCAGGATTGTGTCATCTGCATAACGTAGGCTGTTGATGAATCTTCCTCCAATCTTGATGCCACATTTCTCCTCACAGAGCCCAGCCTCTTGGATTATCTGTTCTGGATATAGATTTAAAAGGTATGAAGATTAGGCACATCCTTGGCATACACCTTCCCAATTTTGAATCATGAAATGTTTCCCTGCTCTATTCTGATGACTGCCTCCTGGTCCAATGTCTTTGCATAGTCAATGAAATACAGATAGACATTCCTCTGGTATGCCCTGCTTTCAGCCAAGAGTAGAATCACATAAATATGAAACTCAGTAACTCAGAAATCCAAAATGACAGACTTCAGGTCTCCAGTTCTCTATCCTGTGGCTCAGACTAAATTCAAAGAGATGTTTTAGATATCTAGCTATAAATGCCACTTTTTAGCACTCTTAATTTAATGTTGTCTTCAACTAGTTTTAAGATACTAGAGAAAGATCTTTCTGATAATTTTTATTTTTAAATTGACTGTAAATATTAAAGAGGAAAGTGGGAAAAAGCAGATGCATAGTCGTTGTCTTTGATGAAATAAAAAGATCTTTGTAACTGAGAACAACACAAAAGGGAGATGAAAAGAAGATGAAAATGACCCAGCAAGGACCAAGAAGGTTAAGAGTGCACAGTGGAAGGGCTGGGTAGAGAAGAAAGAAAATGTTCCTTGAAGAAGTACAGGAAGAACAAGAATAGGAATTTTGAATATAGAAGAAAGCAGAAAAAAGTAAAGATGTGAATAAAAGGAAACTTCACTAAAATTGGGCAGCTAGCTCTCCCCTACCCACAGGACTGCTAAGACACAGAAGGAGAAAGGGAGATGCGTAGTGTCTATGGCATAAGGAAAATGAAATTAAGTACAAGACTGAATATAGGAAAAACTCACGTTGCAAACTGTCCTGGAGTACGTTTTTACTCATAGTGACCTTATGTAATAGAGAAGAACTGCTCCACAGGGATTACTTGGCCATAATCTTCTTTAAAGTAGATTGTTAGTTTCTCTTTGTCTCATGGCTGATGGACTGGTTCAAATATCAACCAAACACTTATCTGTTTGCATCACGAGGGCTCCTTGTGAAATAGAAAACTTATTGCAACTAGCAAGACTGCAATAGGGAGCTAGCCTTTTAAAAAATACTACTTTAAAAGAGATGAGTTCCCTTTTCATTCTGAGGGAACTGTTCAAAGTTACTTCCCCATCATTTGGAAACCTTTGTCCTTTTAGCCTGGTAGGATAATTTTGAGGAAGACATCAATGCAATCAAGATGCATTGATAATATTTAGTGGCTGAAATGTAAAAATCTGAGGCAAAGAAGAAGACTAGTAGTTGGAAAATATGGCTTGGTGACCAAAACGAGGCTGGAGATCCAATGACAGGATTTTTCACAATGAATGATTTGTTGTTGTTGTTGTTGCTTGTTGTTGCTTGTTGTTGTTTGTTGTTGTTGTTGTTGTTATGTGCCATCAAGTTGCCTGTGACTCATAGCAATCCTATGGATAACAGCCCTAAAACCTACTCTATCTTGTGTCAACCTTATTGTCTCTGAAACACCTACCCCCAATACCCCAGTCACTGAAATCAATCCATCTCCTCTCTTGTGCTGTCCTTTCACCCTCCCAAGCATGATGTCCTTCTCCAAAGACTGATCCCTCCTTGCAACATGCCCAAAATATGTCAGACAAAGCTTCAGAATCATTGCCTCTAAGGAACAGCCTGGTCTCACCCTCTCTGGGATGAACCTGTTTGTTCTCCCAGCAGTCCATGGTATAGTCAACACTCTTCTCCAGCACCACAGCTCAAAGGCATCAATTCTTCTGCTATCATCCCTAGTCCTTGTGAGTCATTGTTCAGCTTTCTGATGCTTAGCAAGTAATTACAAAGACTATGGCCTGGTGTAATATTGCCTCTAGACTAACATTGTTGCTCTTCAGTAATTTGGAGAGGTCTCTGGCAGCAGATTTTCCCAGTGCAATTTGTCTTTTAATTTCCTGGCTGTTGGTACCAAGAGTGTTGTTTGAATGATTTACTCAATTAAAGTACCATCTTAAAAAATCATAGACACTAACTATATACATGGACCTCAGCTGATGGACTTCAAGGGATTCATATTGTCTATATAGTGGAAAGAGGTGGTAGAAGCGGAGTATCAGCAGACAAAACAAGACCAAAAATAGCTGTGGAACAAACCATCGATTACTGACATACAAGTTCAAACTAAAGGTGAACAAAATTGAAGCAAGTCCACAAGAACAAAAACATGACCTTGAGTCTATCTCACTTGACTTTAAGAACAGATTTCATACACTTAACACTAATGACTGAGGACCAGATGAGTTCCATGGATGATATCATTAACCCATGAAGACAACAAAAGATCATTACAGACTGGGAAGAAAGGAAATAACATCAAAGATATCAAGGTAGACCTTGAAAGATGCAC